TATGCTACTAGCTAGCATGAGAACGAAAGAGTGTCAATCTCCATTCATAGATGCCCATTATCCTGTACTATACATACGTAGCTCGTACGTCCGGCTTTGCATAGCAGGTGTTTTAAATAGCAGTACTGGAAGGCAAAGAAGAAGAAGAGGGAGAGAGAGGGACAGGCTGAGAGAGTGTGGAAGGAGGAGAGAGCAGACCTTGGCCATGACAGGTTTGAAGATCATCTCGTAGCTCTCGTCGTCAACGCCATCTCTCAGTGGGAAGTTGACTGCATAGTACTTGCCCTTCTCCGCCCCCACGTCCTGTTGCCAGATGGGACGGACCATTATTACAGGTGACGTTGTACATACTTTCCCTTCTCCGCCCTATGTCCCGTTGCCAGATGGGACGGACCATGTTACAGGTGACGTTGTACATACTTTCCCTTCTCCGCCCCATGTCCTGTTGCCAGATGGGACGGACCATGTTACAGGTGATGTTGTACATACATACATGCATAGTATTGTACTTCCCTTTATCTGCCCCCATGTCCCGTTGCCAGAGGGGACGGACCATGTTACAGGTGACGTTGTACATACTTTACCTTCTCCGCCTCATGTCCCGTTGCCAGATGGGACGGGCCATGTTACAGGTGACGTTGTACATACATGCATAGTACTGTACTTCCCTTTCTCCGCCCCCATGTCCCGTTGCCAGATGGGACGGACCAATAGGTGACGGATACATTACATGCTTACTGGAAGACCATGGCCCATCATAAGACAAATTTGTCAGTACATACATAAGGGTTAAATTTACTAAACATCGGACTAAAAAAGTCCAATGCAAGAATGTGATTTGGTTTTTTGAGTAACATTTATCCCTTAGAACTACATTGCCTTTACAGTAAAACACTGTTCTAATGAAAAGTGTATGTATATTATACTATAGTGCAAAACCTTGGTATAAAGAGTACCTTGAGGTCCCCAGTGCCGGGGAAGTATTCTCCGTACTTGTGGAAGGAGACAGTCATGACCCTGTCAGTGGTGTAGAACGCCTCTTCCACTCCGTCGCCATGGTGAATGTCTATGTCAATGTACAGGACTCGTTGGTGGTACCTGCACGGAGAGAGATGCCATCACACGTGCATCAATATCAAAAACAACGCTAGGAAATATGTATACCATTAAAACCCTTTGGACGCCATGGGTATCTCCTTAGATAAGCATAAATACATATTAATTGGATGGATTACATTATGCAATGGTTATGGAAGGAACGTCAACGTCTCTGAACCTCACCCACTGGCCTATAGAGCCATTACACATTAAAACCCTTTGGACGCCATGGGTATATATCTCCTTCAGAAACCGATGTAAACATATTAACGCCTGGTATTATAGCCCCATATAAATTTTTATGGACTTATGGAGGCTCTGGGCATATAATGCCCGTGGCTCGCTAAGGGTTAATTACTATACTCACGCAGGCTTTCTACATATTATTTATATGTCTGTGGCTTGCTGAGGGTTTTAGGCGATGGAACAGGTAAAACGTAGCACAGAGAGCTAGCTATATGGAGGCTTTCAACATATTATTTAAATGTTCATGGCTTGCTAAGGGTTAAGGCTGGTATTAGGCGATGGCATATAATGCCCGTGGCTCGCTAAGGGTTAATTATTATACTCACGCAGGCTTTCAACATATTATTTATATGTCCGTGGCTTGCTAAGGGTTAAGGCTGGTATTAGGCGATGGCATATAATGCCCGTGGCTCGCTAAGGGTTAATTATTATACTCACGCAGGCTTTCAACATATTATTTATATGTCCGTGGCTTGCTAAGGGTTAAGGCTGGTATTAGGCGATGGCACAGGTAAAACGTAGCATAGAGAGCTACATAGCTATGCCCATTATGCTCACTTCAGGAGTTCAAGAATGGCGAGGACAATGTCATTGACGTAGCAGAAACCAGAGGTTTCGCTCCTTTTGGCATGATGTAATCCTCTAGACCAGTTGACTGCAATGTCAGTCTCCTGTTTGTTCAGTTTCACTGCTCCAGCTGGTGGGAGGCGGGAGGCGGGAGGAGGGGGGAGGAGGGGGAGCGAGGGAGGGAGGAGGAGGAGGGAGGAGGAGGAGGGGGAGGAGGGAGGAGGAGGCGAGGGAGGAGGGGGGAGGGAGGTGAAAATAGAAACAGAAAGAAAAAGCAAGAAAGAGAGATCAAAGAGGGATGGTAAACTGAACATGAGAGTATATGTATAGTAGATGAGCAATAAAGGGGTGAAGATAAAAGACAAAACCGAAGATAAAGGAGAGGCGGGTGAAGAGCTTGAAAGAGAAGAGAAAAGAGGAAAGTAGAGAGAAAGCAGGGGGAGTAGAAAGAGGAAGAGATTTATGGAAACAGAGAGAGGAGGTGGAAAGTGGGAAAAGAAGAGAGAAGACAGGAGGGAGGGGAGTGGAAAGAGAAAGAAGAAATTAACAAGGAAGAGAGGGAGAGAGGAGGGATGAAGGTGGTTACCGATGGAGCCGCCACTGGACAGCTGGCAGAACTCGTACATCCCGTCAAACACAGGGCAATCCTCTCCTACATTGACTGACCACAGCAACACAATACACACATATTCTTCTATTATGTTTCTATATGTGATTATCCTCCAGCAATAAATCTCTGGAGCTAGTTTTGCTCTGAACTTTCCTCCCCATATAATATGTAGTAGAGCTTTTTTCAATCTCTCTCCCTTCTCCGCAACTTTGGTAAAACGGCTCTATTCTTACAAGACACTCACATCTCTGCATCTGCTTGGTGTATTCGTTGATGTTATCCGGTCGAATGGTGCGGAGGAACCGGATGTAGTCGTCGCTATGGTAACGAGTCATCTCCTCGTAGACGGCTGGGTGTGGTCTCTGTGGACGGGGAGGACAGACCCTCATCAGTCCCAACAGGGGTAGCGGAATGTCGTATGTATTGCAGTTTTATGTATAAACAGCATAAGTATGGAAAAACCTAAGCCTTGCACACAGTTGGAACGAGGAAATAAACTTGTTCCCATTCAACATTAACTTGGTAACGAGGTAGAAAGGCAAGGCAACGCAAACAAGTCAACTACACCCAGGAGAGCTCTTTCTTTCTCAAAGAAAACAAGAAGAGCTGCACTGGGTGCACATGCACCTACACATTATTTTAGACCCACAAACGTTAGCACATTATCTGTAGTTGTTGTCCTCTGTATCCATGTGCCTACGTATTATAGAGTGTAAACTTTGTGCTATCACGAGAGTTCTCTTTCTCCAAGCTTGCATGTCCAATTATATGGACGCTATAGGAATTTATGAGACGTGAACATGTCAGTATCCCCACAGAGTTGGTGCCCGAGACTCACGTAGATCTCCATCTTTCTGTAGAGGCCCCATAGTTGAGGAGGAGGTTGTGGGTCATGCGTATGCGATGAGGTTTCATGGGGTGCCCCTGTCCGTAGTAGTAATTACCAATGTCGCCTGCATTGAGAGACAGCGGCAGTGGGACCTCTGAGGCGGAAAGCTCTTTTGCTCGGAGGGAGGGAGGGAGGGAGGGAGGGAGGGAGGGGAGATATGAAAAGTAAAGCGTATAAACCTAACACTTTTGTCAGGAAAAGTGGATGATAATCTCATAGGCTGTGGTACATACAGTACCTACTGACAGTGGTTGCATAGCTAACGGTCAAAGTGCTATGAAGCGATCTGGTTACATTCCCAGCAGGTGTGGGTATTCTATTTAATGCCCACTGCTGCAAGGACTGCCCAAGTTACCTGGTATGGGGTGTTTACTATTCTGTCACCTCTGAGCACTTCACCTGTTGGGAGAAAAAGGGAGACATTTAAAGTTGTCAAAAGGTAAGTTAAACCAGCCATACATTAGATATGGAGAGGGGCTCACCAAGGTTGAGTGTCTTGTAATGTACATCTCCGTCCTTTGGTTTACAGAACGGTAGAGAATAGTACTCGTACGGGAGCTGGGTCTTTATACATACTTGTCATCTTTACTGCCAGCAGGGAGGGGAGGGGGGAATGATCACAGCAATATTTACACAATTCCTAAATGAAGCTATTTGAACATGCAACCAGTGGTAACTGTAAAGTGATTTCTTGGTTTTGGTGGGATTTGTTGATAGGCATTGTCTGTTTATTGCTTTCCACCCCCCATTTCATCACTCCCGCTCCATCCGCTAACCCATCCCACGAGACGGTCAAACGGACCTTAATCTCCAGCTTGTCTCCCTCCTCGTACTCCGTGGGCGCCACTCCAGGGATGTAGAACCCCCTCACGCCGACACACAGACACAGCGCCGACAGACAGACCACACGAGTAGCTGCAGCGACGCCCATTACTGCTGTCTCTTCTTTCCTCTCGATACGAGGACGAGTGGGGAAGCTAAAGATGGAGCCTGGCTGGCCGGGTGAGGAGAGAGAGCGTGCCTGGATACGGGGCGGGGAGAGAGAAATGGCGAAGAGATGAACCTGAGCCCCACGCTCGCTGGGATATCCGGAACGGTGGGCGAGGTCTACTTTTCTAGTATACGGAGATGCGCGGATAAATATAGCGCATGCGTTATGTTAATGCGCTGAAGAACGTCTCTCGGATATTTACTTGGAATGAGCGGAGTACAAAAGTAAAAATTCATGTACAAGCATGTCACACACTAAATGTGATTTTCATGTCAGACCATGTCAAAAAAGATGATAAAAAATAAGGAGTGATACAAAAATTGTAATTTACAAAAACATAATACATTGTCAACATGAGGAGCACAATGCATCAAGATCTTAGTTGGTCCAGAGCAATTTGAATCTGGTCGGCCATAAGCTTCAGTTTGCTCTTCCTCAGAGTTGCTATGAGGCTCTCCCACGACACCTCCACCCCCTTCCCTGCCAGCCACTCCCTCAGAACCTCCATAATGACCTTTTCTGTCTTCCCCCGGCAGTCTTCCTTGATGACGGCCATCTTGTCCCCAGTCTCGTCATCGAGAAGTAAGACTCCAAATGTTTCAAATTTGTCTCCAACTCGAAGAGGCAAGTCCATCGTCAGTAGTTGCGGCAGAGTGGGACGTGAACCTGAGACTGGAGGGGACAGGAAAACAAGTAATATACATTTGCATTTCTACAAATATGGGAGGCCTCAGAATTAGAATAGCACATTTTCAGAATGTACAGAAGTTTTGTATAGAGAATAGAGGCATACTTGTTAGAGGAGGGGTCGTTACAGCCTTCTTCTTGGATTTCTTTTCCTTTTTTCCTTGACCAGATGCTGCACAAGTTCATTTAGTTCTCATCCAGTACATACATAATATGGTGAAGACTTCCTTACCTTCTGCAGGAGTGAGAGGACGGGCCACGCAGTCTGGACTGAGGGAGCCATCCTTCAAGGCTTCTCTCAAGATTGCTGCTGTTGGATCTGAAATGTAGGAGTTAAAGGTATACTTAGCCTAAGTTACCCAGAATTATTAACCCTCGGTGCGCATGCACAGCGAGGGTTACAGTAGTTGGTTTGTCTGTCGTCTGTCTGTCTGTCTGTCTGTCTGTCTGTCTGTCTGTGTGTCGACGCTTATTCTGGCACTACAGGCTACGAGGAGGCCTATTAGCGATACCAGCGGCTTCAGAACTACGCGAGCCTGAAAAATTAAAGGGCGATTTTCTGCGTTCGAGAGATATGCCGTGAAAACAAGCGAAAAAGCCAATATGCATAATTGCACTGGGCTTACTGCGACCTGATCCGCTCGCTCTGTGTACCTTGAAGGCACAAGAAGTCACAACGAATGGCATGCTATCTACTACTAGCTAGCCCATGTCAGACTCTCCGCGAGCTAATAGCGGGAGACCACAAGTAAATGCATACACATAGCCCAGCCCATCAATTAGCAATATTGTGCATGCACAGTTTCCAGAGGATATGCACTTTAGTTCTTCAAGCAAGTATGCAAATAATGTAGTAATTGGTGGTCTGTTTTCTTAGGCAAAAACACCATAGTGTAATTCAACACCATACATGTGTTTTTGTTCGCATCTGTGATAATAATTACAAAATAATGCACTGAAGTGCACACCCTCGGTGCACTACATGCACAGGTAAACGCATGTGCGGTACCACTAATTGATGGGCTGGGTTATACCACCGTACTCGTGGTCTCTTGCATGCTCGTGGAGAGTGAGACAGGAGCTAGCTACACTACTTGGTAGCATGCGAAGGCAATACACGCCCCTTACAGTCGGGAAATCCGCCGTAACTCTCGCTAAACTACGGCCAAAACCAGATGTTCAAAGCACGTAAGGTTCCGTAGAAACAGCCTGTGTTTACGTCTGACGCTCGCTAACAAAGTTACATGTATGTCCCATATAGAAAGTATGGAGGTTCCAGTGGCCACAAGGAATGCAATCGAGCCACACTACTGTTACTATGTGTAATACCCAAGCCATGGTGTGCAGGGAGCGGGTCTGTTCAAACAATCGACCTACAACTTCACAGAGCAAGCAATAGCAATAGCAATAGCAAGTAATAGTAGTAGCACGAGGGATTATGCAATATTACTGAGCGCATACACGTGGAAGGCCCGCCAGTAGGCGTGCTACTGGTAGCTTGTACACTGGAGAACCACGCGCGTGTCTGAGCATCTGACAGCGTCGTCTCGTCCCGTCTGATCTGAGAGGAACGTCCGACAGCGTCGTCGCCATGGAGGACCAGGACTTACGCTCTCCGAAAAAGAGAAGGAAGCCTGGTGGATGGGCCCGGCGTGCAGGTCACGCGGGAGCTCCTGCGCACCCTCGCCGCCCGCCGACTTCACGTCGTAGTTGGAGGAAGACTCTTGTTGCCTCGATTCTCCTGAAAGCCGCTTTCCTACTATATATTATGTCCGAGGAAGAAATAGCCATGGTGTGCAGCGAGTGTTCAAACAATCGACCTACAACTGCATGGTAGGTTTCACGCACCTATAAGCCCTAGCTGGACTAAACCAAAACGCTCCAAGTGCTGTCTTTGCTAGGGCGGCATTGGTGGCACTACCTGGGTGGCCATTAATTAGCCACAAACACTTGATGCTCCTTATGAGGTGTGTTTGCCGAAACAGTTTTGACAGTCCAGGTGCAAGGGAAGGCCCAGACAGCTGAACTAATTGGGGATAAGTGCTACATAATTATTATGATACACTTTTCTAT